AGATGCCCCCAATTTCCACGGTAAAGGATCATTTTCAGTTGCTTATACTTTTCCTCAAAGTTTTTACATTTTTCTATCAAACTTTGGTACATTTGTTCTCAGGGAGCAAATTTTTTGTTTTCTGGAAGCTTTAGCAAACATGCTTGTGACTTTAGGCAAGTCGCTTATTCTGCGTGCCTGAGTTCTGCATGTGGTAAGTGGGGGAAATAATTCTTCCCACACCCAGCCTCACTCCTGGGGATAGTAAGGGGACATTTATTAATCCCTGTGAGGCACAGGGAGAGTTTAGTGAACATCTGACACAGCAAGGAAAACGATCCACATTTTTATTCAGTGCAGGACTTGGCTGGCTTGGAATACCGTTCCATAGGAAACACACAGCGGAGTGAAGATCAAATGAAATCTTGACCAGCTGCTTCATTCACATAGGTCCCAGTTCAGCAAGGTGCTGAAGCATGTACCTAACATTAACATGGGAGGAGTCTCATTCCACTCATGGGAGGCATCTCATGGGCTTCAACGGGACTATTCATGGGCTTGAAGCTAGGCATGTCCTTTAGTACCTGGCTGAATTGGGGCTTGAGCACTGTCCATCCTATGCACTGAATGAGGCAGGGCTCCTGTGGGGGAAAATGGCACCTGCCTATGTCATTAAATAGTGTCTCCCCAGGCGTCCACACGAGGTTGAGGGGCAGATTGTCCCTTCCTGACTCTGGAACACTTCAGTTTGCAACCGGAACGGTTTCGGTAGGGGTTTGGGGTGGAACAGACGAATGATACCTGACTCACTGCTCCACAGATGAGCCCCCAGAAGCAGGGCGAGGAAAAAGGGCCAAATCCTACTATGACTGACGTCATTGGTAGCATTCCCGTAGACATCCAGTCCCTGGGACGTGGGCTCACACTAAGGGACGGATTTTGAAAGGGATTTAGGTGTTGCGTCACTCAGGGCTGCAAGGCCTACAGCCCAGCTTTAGAGAAGTATTTAGATGCCTAAGTCCCACTCATTCCACGTATCTGGGCATACACAACTTAGATGGCTAAGTCCCCTTTTCAAAAGTGAGATAGGAGCCAACGTCTCATTTGAAAGTGGCTTGGCTGTTTAAATCACTCTGGCCTTGCAATGCCGAGCAAGGCAACACCTAAAAACCTTTACAAATCTGTGCCTAAGCATCTTGCCCAAGGTCAATGTGCAGGCAGAAATACAAGCAAGAGGGAATTGAAAGACCTTCAGCGACTGCTACAAGGCTTGTCTGGGCAGAGCTGAATAAAATGGGATGGAAGGGAGAGGTTTTGAGAGGTGTTTAGATCTTTTAAAGCCTATTTTGGCCTGTTGTGTAATTATCATTCTGCCCCTAGGAGTGCCTAGCTAATTCTCAATAGAAATGAATAAATACCGAAATGTAAAGACACAGTAGAAAGCCGGGTCCATGTATTCTGTGGCCACGGTCTCCACCCATTGTGACAGAGCTGTACTCTAGAACCTCAGCGTTCACGGGGGGGAAATTGGTTCTAGTCCTCTCTGTGGTGTAGCAAAGATGAACCAAGTGTGAACTGAAGCAATGTTGTCCTCCTGAGTTTGGAGACAGCCTGAAACAGAAGGTCTGAAAGTTGTGAACTGCTTCAATTGCCTCAATGGGGTGTTAAATTTGGAATTTAATGATCGGCGCTGCTGATCATTTGAGCAAAAACAGCCAGCAAATGCACTTATGCCACAAGCCAAAACTGCCTCTCAAGCCTCCATAGCTGGGGACTGTAATCATTTATTAATATAAAAATAAACAACACAGGGACTACGCCAACGATTGTATTAGTCTTTTTTTCATATTTAATTAATTCAAATCCTCCCTTTGTTGATTTAAATGAAGCTGCCACAGCACTTCTAGTCTGCCATTCTAGCAAGCTGCAGAATCCAGGGACCTTGCTTCAGAATTTAGGTGCAGAGTAGATACCAGCCAGGTTATGAGCTTTTCCCTAGGGGAGACCAGGAATGTGTCATCACTGGTGACTCATGTTGTTTAATAACTAAACAATATTTGTGTTTGGAAGAATGGGGCTTAAGGGTTTAGAATCTCAGACTTAGTTTTGGTTTCAATGATTACTCTAGCACCTATACGCTAGATGGTGGGCTTTTAAAAATCATATTAGTTGAGCTAATGAACAAGGCATAAAAATAGGGTCCATGTAGAGGGTGTGAATAGCAAAGGGGGTTCAGAGAAGAAACGTTTCTGATCAGATCAAATATGACTTTGGTCTGAAAAGCTAACTCCTTTAAAAACCAACAACCCCCCACGGCTTCTCCCTTGAACTAGGGGGTTACTTCAAAAGTTCTTAGAGCAACGACTCAGGGTGATATGGACAATTGGCTGAAAACCACTACAGGGTCCTCTGTAGCATCTTTCCTATTCAAAAGAAAAGAATCCTGAAAATAACACACAGTGATTAACCCATTTAATGAACAAAACCTTCTACTTTCTCCCTGCATACTGTACATACGTACCCAGTGATCACACAAGACACTGTCTCCCATGATTACCCAGATTCCTTGGGTCTAGCACGTCATTCAAGTGGCACAGATGGTGTGGCTGCTTCTCTAGTCTACAGATTGGGGCTGGGATCTGCCCCCAGATTGGGGGTGGGTGGGTAGATGCTGTCACCCCAATCATCTCACATTTCACTTGTGTGAAGCCCAAGCAATTGGGCTTTATGTGGGTGATGTTAATCACCTGAACGCAAGTCTGGCCAGTAAAGCACGTCACTGTTATGAATGGAAGAGCTCAAGAAAAGGGCAATGCATGATATAGGGATTTTTAAAAAAAATCTGATTGAGACAGTTGAGTCGCTCACAGCTGAGTGACATGACATGTTTTAAACACGCCTGAAATGTCAGGGAACAAGGACATCTTGTGTGGGATTTTTTTAAAAGCAGTTTGATGCTGTGGAAAGGTGCCAAACTGGCAGCACCAGACGCCAAGTGGCTGGATGAGAGACCAGGATGCAACGTTGCAATCACAGGTCACTGCGGACGTGTCTGCTCTTTCGTGCAGCAGACTCGCGGCCTGCTCTTCCTCTCATCCCAGGGCATACAGACCCTCAGTTTAAGTGCTTGTGGTTGTGGGGTTCTGGTGAACGGTGCTGAGAGCTGGTCGGGCTGAGACACAGATAAATCTCTTTCTGGTCACTGGGCAAAGCCTAGTCCTTAAAGTTGTCTGGTCCGGAAAATATTTGAGTTGAGCTGTCAGTGTTTTTTTTTTTTACATCTGAAAAATTGGGCCCCTCAAGGTGGGTGTGACCTAATTTATTACATTGCTACTTTCAATATATTTGCCATTCTTTAACGTTTAGTTACTCAGGTCTGAAACATTTGGCTTTAACCCCTCTCTGTCTCAATTTTTCTGTATGTAATTACTGTACCGGGGTGTAACAAAGCGTAACTAAAACTACAGTACTAATGACCCTTAGCACTTACATAGCCCTTTGCACCCCAGTATTTCAAAGCATCTTACAAAGATGGGGAGTATTATTAGCTCCATTTTACAGCTAGGGAAATGGAGGCACACAGAGGTAAAGCACCTTTTCCAGAGTCTCACACGGGATTACGGTCAGAGCTAGGAACAGAACCCAGAGCTCCCGATTCCCAGTTCGGTGCTCTAATCATTAGACGACTATTGGCTTTGTAGATGTAAAACCCTATATAAATGCTAAGTATAATAATTGAAACTAGCATGTACAGAAAAGTAGAAGTGTAAATTATACGGTTTTAAGTTTAAATTACAAGTATGTAATAATGTGAATTATAACAGTCACTTTGTAGACACCTCTCTGGGGTGGTGTAAAGAAAATAGGTGATTACAGATCATGCAATGTATTCCTCAATGTTATGAGTAAAGAACCACTGCACACAATCCATTGGTGGCTTTCTTTGCGCTGACCTCTGGATAATAGTCATTGCTAAATCATGAACGTAAATAGAAATTAATATATACAAAAATTCCACATTAGCTCAGAACCTGTTTTTATGTTGTCAATAAAATCTCCCAGCGTAATACCCAAAAAATGATCCTGCTACAGTGGAAATCTTTTCTTTCATGTTTTACATCCAGCACAAAAAACTGCAGGGAAGAAGGATGAATATGGTCACAAGGTTGAAGTATAAAGAAAAACATGTGCCCATTTTCAGCTAAATCCCTATTCAACACTTTTCTAGGACAGAACTCCAAGAAAGCCATAAAGGGATTTTATTAAAAACTGAGATTTTAGGAAACAACATTCTTGATCTTATGTACATTTCTAGCATCACTTCCTGTATATTTTTAAACTGAAATCCTCTTAGCATGCAAAGTAAATAGATTATGATATACTGAAGGATTAAGGATCACTGTCTGGTGTCAGATTAATCCCACATATAGACCATCACTTGTACTGACAGAAATATGGCTTCAATTCAGCAAAATAGCTCTATGGCTAGGTAACACATTTCAGCATTTTATGTAGAGCAAGTGAGAGATTTCCTTGATCTGTTGTTGCACTGCATCTATCTCCGAAATTAAATAGAAATCTGTATCATATGCAACACATGCTTTCCTCAAATTACTGTACGGCTGCATAGCGTAACCATCCATTATATATACAGCTGTGTGTGGTGAAATGCTGTAGTAAACTGCTGTTTGTTTCACAGTTCTTACTTTATTAATATTTTCCCCATTGAATATGTAGAATTTTATGCACTTAACAGTTTTGTTCACTCAAGACGTAAGCTTTTCAGTATGTTTTAATAGACATATCTGAATATGCTGATACAAACAAACTGCTAAATTATGTTGGATTTTTTTATTACTACCAAACCCACCATCCACTTTGTATATGTTAGATTTCAGCAGCGTTTTGACTCTTCGGGGGGAGGGGGGGAAATAAATGGCCTGACCAATGAACAATAAATCGATACATTATAAATAAACCCAGATTTTCTCAACACAGTATTTCTAAACAGTTTGATTAAAAAAAAGTTTTTATTTTTAATCCATTTATTTCGTGACCGTACCATTTAAAGACAGTAACCAAAAAGCAAATTCAAGCAGATTGTTGACTTTCAGTTTTACATAACTGACTGCTCCAAAAGACCAAGCTTAATCTATATGTGTGTATATACAGTAAAGTACAATACATGTGTACATACATGATATACTGGATCAAACGGTAGGAAGCAAGAAACATCATAAAGTTCCTTTTCTCTTTTAATAATTCCGGAACAAGTATAGTAATGAAACAGGTTAAGTTGTCTTCTCTGTAGCATTTTCTGTTAGTGGCTAGAGGAGCAAGATTAAAATCTGGACTCCAAAGGAATGATGTTTAAGAGACTCCATGTCTTTTTTTTAAAGGTAAAATAATGGTTATTCAACTAAGATGATATATGTAGATACGAAAATTGAGAGCATTCTTAGAAAAACGCTGCTGACTGTGAAAGGCTGCTTTTTCACAGAGGTATCCTGAGTGAAGATTTTATCTGCTAGTATCTCGGTAGAATGGTTTTCAGAGCCTTAAGTGGAAATTCAAATCTGCATCCAAGTGAAGATTGTTAAAATATATAATGCATGGAGAATTACAGAGAATTTGCTCTGTGAGGTTTATGGATTTGTTTAATGAAAAACCAATCTTTCAGCATTACCATTTGTACAGTAATACTGGTATCCATGATTATTGGATTTTGTATGTCATCAGATGTCATGATGAAAATTTATTTGCTCTTCATAAATAAACGTGGGTCAGTTTTTGCAGAGACAGGTGCCTATAAATCAATAATTCAGTGTTTTAAGCAGACCATCACTGAAACTTTTAACTGAATTTTCTCTTGAAGGGCCTGATCCAAAGGCAACTGAAGCCAAATGAAAGACTGCGATGAATTTCAGTGGGAGTCTAATCAGGCTTTAAGTATTTTCTTTTAAAGTGAAAGTATTCATATTCTTGATTATACTAGACCAAAGTGAACCACTTTGAGAGATCCACTTCCTCCAGTCTCCTGGGGGAAAAACAACAACATACAATCACTCACTTTAGCATACAGAAATTAAATGCAATGATAGATTTAAAAATTTACCCTTTTTATATTTAAGAAACTCCAAAACAAATTCAAGGAAATACAAACCTATCTAAATATTGACTCCAATTAACCTCTGCATGGAAGCTTATTTGAAAAAGCTAAACCTTATTTTGTTCTCTTTATTTAAAATGTATAACAAACATTCTAACATTGTATTAATGCCAATATTACCGGAGCCAGATTTTTAAAGCTAGGGATGCAATTTTGTAATCTTAATGCAAACCTACAAATACTTGATTTAAGTGCACATAAATGGGGAGGGAGGGGGGCTAATGTATGCACAACAAATGCATGTGCAGAACTGAAACTTAGCCCATTATTTTTGTAAGCAACATGACAATTAATGAAAACAGCACATGCCTAGAATGCAAGGGTGTTTCATACTACATGTTGTTGGCATGCCTACAAAAAGTGTGAAAACTTTGCTAAGGAAAGTGTTATGCTCTAGTGAATCACTGCTTCCCTTATGATTACATATGAGCAGAAACCTCTTTGTGATGGAAAGAAAACTAGGTGTGGAGCTGAAATCAAAGGGAAGCGGGTGTATGTGCCCTACTGTAGTTTACAAAATACATTAATTTAAATTGGGGGGGGAAAAAAGTGGAAAACTGGCAACAAGAAGGGTATGTAAGTTAAGGCTGCCGCAGGCTTATGTGTGTGCTGGCAAGTTCAGTGGGATTCATGTGGCTTTCACTCTTTCACTTCAAGTGAAGGAAAAAGAAAACACCCTTGCAACCTAATAAGGAGCATTTATCAGAGCAGCAGCTCCATCTTATGGTATATATATTCTACCACAGAGATAACACATCATGTTCTTAAACAATGCTTCAGTGCACAATGCATATATTACTGCTGTGTGTTTAGGGTAAAAAGTATTTCAACAGCTAGAATTTTGTCTTGATGTAAATACTGCATTTTAGTTCCAGCCTCTTGTTTGGCATTTTCACTGCTTGGTGGATGAGGAAAAAGTTGGAGCGCACGTTTGTTAGGAGGCACTTGGCCTTTACTGGATAAAGCTCCATGCACCATATAAATACCAACAGTTAGTTGTTTATAGGAAAATGAAAGTGTTTCCCCATTCCTCTATATATAACTAAACACTTCTCTACCACACCCCTAAGGTTATATAATGCTGAAACAAGTCATCTTTCCTGGTGAATTTCATGCATAGCCTCTACCACAACTCTCCCAGGCAGATCACGCAGCAAAGTTCGTGAATGGTCAGATTCTCTGTCTTCTTAAGGGGTGTAAGACTCTTAGAACTTTAATTTGTTTAATTGATATTGGACATTTCAACTCTAGTTCCCATAAGACCATTTCAAACTACTGGATAATTATTGACATCACTCGGTTTCTAGGTGCAGGAATGTAGCACCTGCTCAAATCCTGGGGTTTCTGTCTAACTTTTCAACACTAGACATTGTCTACATCTTTATGGTAACCATGCTTCTTTGCTCCTTTTTCACTCCTAAATCCTCCTCCTATGAGATTGACAGCTGTCTTGTCTTCTGCTAGGAGGGTAGCACGGGAATTCTCTCCTGTAGGAGTGGTGCTCATCTTGTTAATTAATCTATAATAAAATAATTAATAACTTTGCACTTACATGGTGCCAGGCTCTCCGAGAACTGTACAAAAGCTCAGTAAGCATTATCATCCCAGTTTCAGATCAAGACACTGAGCCACAAAGAGGTCAAGGCCTGCAGTTTCAAACGTGTGCAATTTGAGACCTCTGGAGCCTGATTTTATAGATGGAGGTGATCAGCACCTCTGGAGACCTACTTGTATCAAGTTAGGCATCCAAAAATTAAGGCACCTTAAATGAGAAGAGACTTCTGAAAATGTGGCGCTTTCTCAAGATCACCCAGGTAGAATAGAATTGGGAACAGAACTTGAGTCTCGTGACTTCCAGTCTCTGACTTAACTGAACCCGAATGCCAGATCTCTAACATCAGAGATGTTTGGATCTGACTTTCCACACCCAGCCCCATCTCTATCTTTAATCACTAGATCAGCTGGACGTACAGTGGCCAGTGGTGAAAACACAGCTAACCATTTCTTCTAGAAAAGAACTAATTGTCTTCAAACAGCAAAGCCTTTCTTGGTCAAATATTTCGCTACGTGTCAGTGATTTTTCTGGACCTGGCAGGTGAATGGGAACAATTTCCTGCGGTTTCAGGGAGATTCACCGTGAGCAAAGAATACACAGGTAGTGATATATGTGCAAGAGATTGTTTACATGATGCTGGGGATATAGTCTCAGCAAGGCCCCTGGTCTCCACTCACTCAGGGAATAGGCCACTTCTGACCCCCAGTTCTTTGGCACAGCTCTGCCTTATAGGGCAAATCAAATCCTCAATGTCATGGCCACATAAGTCTCCCTAGCAGCAGAACCAGCGCAGTTCCACTGTGCAAGAAATGGCTGGGCTCTGGGTGTGCACCCCTTTTGTGGCACAGAGCCCAGCATTGAGAGCCCTTCTGAAGCAATGGACAGGAAGCAAAGCCAGACTAGAGGAGCAGTAGAGTGAAGGTGGGCATACACTGGTGCATTGGAGGGATAATTCAGCCATTGGGCTTCACAGCCACTCTGTGGCTGTAGGTGGGAGGTCCTCTGGTTCCTCACTGGAAATATCCAGATACAGCCCCAACTTGGGCTGGGTGACAAGTCCCAGGTTATGGCCCTCTGCGTGCATGCATTTTAAACATCTCCCTAAAGCATAAGCCTCGTTCCCTAGGGCTTTGGCAATATCGATACTGAATTCAACAAACTACTCTACCAGCTCTTTCCGTGATTTTCAATAAAACAACATTCAGTCCAATTAGCTGGACAAAAGGGAAACGTTTTCCATTCTCCAAGATCTTATGAGAACGTCCAATATATCTGTACACAGAAAAAACATTTAAAAAACCCCAGAATGATGGAGAAGAACACTCTCTTGATTTTGAACTTGTACAGAACATTTAGCACGCAGTATATCATGCAAAGGACGAACATGCATGTGATATTCTATAACAATACAGTAACAGGCTGTTCAAGTTACCTAGGTAAGCACTAAAAATTCAGGAAATGTCCAAGTTAACGTTGCTTGTATGGCTTTGAAGTGTGGTTCCACTCCGAAAAGTGACAACGTAAAAATGGCTCCATCTTGCTTCCTTGTGTAATTAGAGTCATTCTCATAATTGCTCACTTCAGAGACAAAGATACATTGTTACTGCATTTTTGTCCTCGCAGGAGCCAACCCAGCTCTGGGAGATGAAGCAAGATTCTCTTTCCCCATGTATCAGACAGAATTGTCTACCAAGTTTTATGATTTGAATGACTGTAGCAGCTAGGAGCCTTAGTCACGGACTAGGACCCCATTGTGTTAGGTGCTGTACAAACCCAGCTCATAGCGGTCAGAGCAGTGCATACTCATTGAAATCAATGGAATTGCACAGATGTCGCTGAGGGCATTAGGTGAAGACATTATCATCAAAGGCAGCGTTTACCTTGCAAAATCTTTATTGAATGTGACTATACCCAAGAAGAACGGAACCCAGCCTGAGTGTCAGATCCCAGCCTGAGTTTGCAAGGGTGGCAGTCAGGAAAAACCGTCATATTTTGCCTTGTAGACGGCGCACATTTGATCTGGAGTCATTGAGAGACAATGAACACAAAGTCCCACCATTTTAACAGTCACTTTTCAGAGCAGAACTACACTCTATCTGCTCCCAGGTCCCTGCACATTATGATAGTCTTTTCACAATCAAACGAGATCATGTAATTAAAGATCAGAAAACGTTTCTCCAACCTTAGAGACCTATGTACATCTTGTTCTTTTTTTTCAGGTATGGTAATTTGTCATTGGGGTCTTGCATATCGTTAATGACCCAGACTATTTAATATGGTAACTTCCCTTATCTCTAGGGAATTTGTACTATGCATGTTCTTTTCAGCACAACATTCCTTAGGTGTTCCGGAGAGAGGAAACTAGCTACAAAGCTAACATAGCTACGCATTCAGACAGGAGATTTTGTTAAGGTACGTTTCAGGAAAGGAGGCTGTTACCTATGTTTACTGCTAACTTCTTTTAATAGTTATTCTATGTACGTCAGCAAATGTTCACAATTCCCCTATACTGTACACTTATGGCCAGCACAGAGAGGGCAGGGTTGGCTTAACGAGGCAGCTGGAGGTTCCCTCTGAGCAGGGGAATCTCCTGGGGGTGCACAGCTACCACAGCCCATTCTGTGCCACCTGCTCTGGGACCGTCCCTCCCCCCATCACGAGAGGGTGCACTGGAGCATGATGGGGGCTGGAGCACGTTGTTCCTGGAGAGTTGTTCTCTTTGGCACAGGTTGTTTTTATGATGGGACAAAAGTGTATTTTCACACTGTCCTTGGGGGGTGGAGGCTGGACAGGTTTTGCTCAGTTTTTTTAAAAATCACCTTTTTGTACACAGGACGTACATTGAAAATTTCCACACATTCCCCCCCCCCCCCCAAGGTGTGTTTCAGCCCGTTACAAGCAACTGCAAACGGGCTAGAATGGAAACTAATTTGTAACCTTAACAACAGAGGTTATTGCCATGCTGCTAAACAAAACTGAGGTGAATGTATTTCTCCTCAAAGATCCTGGACTGACAGTTCCGGAGACTGACGAGTTCCACATATCCAGAGATCTAGCACAGCACAGGCAGCAGCCACAGTACAGGCCACACCACCCACACTGCACCACCCCGGGACAGCAAATACATTCTAGCGGGTGAAGGGCAATTTAAGTCATTATGCCTCTTTAACTCTTGGGCTAGGTCTACACTACCCGCCTGAATCGGCAGGTAGAAATCGATCTCTCGGGGATCGAATTATCGCGTCTCGTCGGGACGCGACAATCAATCCCCGAATCGACGCGCTTACTCCACCAGCGGAGGTGGGAGTAAGCGCCGTCAACGGGGAGCCGTGGAGGTCGATTTTGCCGCCGTCCTCACAGCGGGGTAAGTTGGCTCCGATAGGTCGAATTCAGCTACGCTAGTCGCGTAGCTGAATTTGTGTATATTAAATCGACCCCTCCCCTCCCCCCCGTAGTGAAGACCTGCCCTGAGTCTCGCTGCTAAAACTGCCAGCAAAGGAGGCCATTAGTTGGGAATGTGGTGGCTGTTTCTGTGAGATGGATGTGGACTGAGACTAATTACTCATTTCTCCACCAAATCAAGATCCGACATTAACAAATTTTGATCGCTGGTGATCTGGGCTGGATTCAAACCATGAAGATCTGGCTCTATTTTACAAGCCCTATGGATGTGGAACTTCCACTGACTGGAGTCCTGCATTTGGATGAAAGATGTAGTTTGTACCAAGGGGTGAAATAGAGTAGAATGGGGAAAAATGTTACCTGTTCTGTGTGAACGTCCCCAAAATTCCCTGAACTTGCTGGAAAACAAACAAACAAGGTTAATATGCAGCAGTTAACTTTTCAGCCTCTTGATAGGATATAAAATAGCTGTATCCTATCACACGATGGATGAATTAAAGCATTTAACATATTACATAGATATGTATGTGCATGTGTGATCCTCCCTCCCTTGCTCCCCAAGCCCTGCCAAACCATAACAAAATGCATTTTGATGAAGACAGCGTGGCAGATCTGAGGTCAGGGACCAACCGTGTCCAGGTATAATACACGCGTGACCATCTGTAACCGAGCGGGTGTAGGATATGCTAATGGCAGCTCTGGTAGCACAACCATTTCATGTCGACCTCTTTGAAAATATGATGTGCTACTTGAACATGGCAAAGGGTGACTATCCTTACCTCACCCGTTTTACAAATATCCTTAAGTATATCAGTGCACCTAGCTTGGTGACTAGGGCCAGGGCTACACTATTAAACCTACGTTGGTATAACTACATTGCTCAGGGGTGTGAAAATCCCACGGCCCTGAGCGATGCAGTTACACCAACCTAACCCCCGGGACAGACAGCACTATCTCAACAGGAGGGCTTCTTCCATCGACATAGCTACAGCCACTCGGGGATGTGGATGAACTCTCCTGTCGGAATAGTAGCATCTTCGCTGAAGCGCTACAGTGGTGCTGCTGCAGCATTTTAAGTGCAAACCTGCCCTAGGTAATACAGGCCCTCCTGCCATGGCTTCCCCCCATTGAAATATTCTGCCATTGTTCTTTTTTATATGTGTGTGTGTGTGTGTGTGTGTGTGTGTGTAT